CCGCCAACTAATAAATAACAACATTAATGCCTAGTGCTGATTTAACATTTTGTGTTGGAAGCAATATATGGCAGGTCACCTACAACCGTGCATTTTATTTATTTGCCTTCATTCTTTATGAACTACCTGCCTGCAGGCTTGGGGCACATTCACATTTATTTGGAATTTCTGAGCTGAACGAGCTGTTCTAGCAGTTCAGGTTTTCCACCAATAAGCAGCTCCTCATCAAGGGCAAATGCTCCAATCAGCTGGCCTGTATTTACTGATAAAGCACCCCGCTCTCCGTGGAGCCACGCCACATAATGCTAAGGTTGCAATCCCAGCCCTAATGGAGGATGGCCAACGTCCTTTCTTTGCAGGAGAGTCAGATTTTCACTGCTGGTGAGGATCTGGCCAGCAGTTTGACATAAGAGATCCCCAAGGATTTGTTCCTACATGCTTTTCCCATACAGGGCTTTAGATAGAAGTATTCAGTGGCCTACAGGATTGAGCCCTACCCTACTGCCCATCCAACTAGCTTCACATCACCCGTATCTGTGTCCTGGGCTCCCTCTGGATTGGCGGTTCCCGTGCTTGTCACACACAAAATGCCCTAAAATAGAGGCCCCCGTGTCCAAAGGTCTTGCTGGCAGAGTTGAGCACCATTCGCATCTATTGGGGTGTCAGCATCCTCGCAGGGGGCCCTTGGCTGATAGTATGTCGGGAAGCCAGCTCGTGAGAGGGGAGGTTTGCCTTGTGAGTGCAGCAGGAGATGTTCACCCTCGACTCATTTCCTAATTACACAATAGTTACCAGCATCCCTGGGACCTCTTTAACCTTTCCGACTTGACTGACTTGCTAGCAGATTTTCTTGCCAATGCATTGCCTCATGGCAGGGTGGTTGAACCTGGATCCTATTGCAGAGGAATTAGAGCAACACGGAGGGTTACGCCCTTTTGTGTTTAGCTAACAGTTTCCATAGTATTTCAGAATCTTTCCTTGGTTAATTTATCCTGTGATAGATAATAAAGGACACTTGCTTGCGATCATCTTATTATTGACTCAGGAATTCAGTATTTCATATATAATAGAGGAATGTGCACTGTTATCCAGCTGGTCTCTGCCCATCTTTTTTTTTTTTTTGCATAGTCTGAAAAAAATATGTATCTTCTTAATAGAAACAACAGAACCAAACACAAATTAATGAGGAGAAATACCTTCTCTAAAGAGCTGGTTTGGGGTCACACGTGCATTGCTCGAAAGAATGAGGTCTCTGCAATCTTTGTGTTACAAGGGGTGGGGGGGAATGAAAGGTCCTTTTATTTTTTTTTCTCAGGTCTTCTATCATTAAAACCTGGTTCTAACAGCAGAATACTTCTCTTTTTCATGTGTGTTGAAAAGCAGCTACACCATGTATCAAAGCCATCAGTCCAAGTGAAGGATGGACTACAGGAGGTGCCACTGTCATCATCATAGGAGACAATTTCTTTGATGGGTTACAGGTCATATTCGGCACCATGCTGGTTTGGAGTGAGGTAGGTGTTGTCTGAACGTTAATGTCTAATAGCTTTGTCTAGTTTATAGCTAGCCTGCTTTTCTTCTGAGCCTAACGCTCAATCAGCCACAAATGTTTAGCTGCAAAATCCTTCTTTTGCTCACTCAGTTCCCTGGAAACAAATCAAATTTGCCTGTGGCCCGAACCCCTGGACTTGCCCCTCTTGCAATGGCCCTGAACCTAGGCAATGCCATTTAGTTCAGGGAAGGGTCAGGGATCAACGTGCACCTCTATGATGGATTGTGCATTTAACATACAGTAAATAAGGTCCAGTTAAAAAAAGTGCCAGCAACGCTGATTTTCAGAGGCGCTGAGGACTTGCAGCTCCCATTGACTTCAGGGGGGGGCTTCAGGTCCTCAGCCCACCTGAGGAGCTGGTTCTGAATACCTAGTATCTTGTTCTGCACATCCATGGTGGGGAAAGCATCATTTTCCTTCCCAGCAGAGACATTTATATCTTCAGGGCAATGTTTTCTTGCCTCTCATTTACTTTTATTGCCTCTATTTCCCTGCTCGTTCTTCTTAACTTCCTTTTTTGCTATCTTATTGTGTCACCTGATGTGATTGGATTCTTTCGTTTTCCAAACACCAGTGAAACATTTAAAGCTCGAAAGAGAGAGCTCAACAAAACACCCCTTTGGCCAGGCCCAGCGAAACCGGCACAAAAATCCCAGAGCCTCGACCGGCACCAGGAGACAGCTCACCGAGAGGGTTTCATGTGTCCCCTTTGTGGGGTCTGAAAGCTTTGCATTGAGTTGATATTTGTGAGGGATGAATAGTGAAATAAATGCACTGATCTTAGTTACTAGCCAGCCTTATTGCATCAATTATACTATACCAGGACAGCCACATTTTGATCAGATGCAAACTTCCTTCAGATTCAGGTGCAGAGTTAAATTTCATCATTAAATTAGTATTCATGATAGAAGGGCTGGAAGGAGAACCCTGTTTTCCCTCATTCTTTCTGCTCCTTGGGATTGTACATTATAAATATTAAATCAATATTATAATTTACTTCAGATCTGACCCTTTCACCCCTGGTGATTCTGTTACACATATGGTAGCAATTTTCATATGAAGAGAGCCCTCTAATATTTGCTGCGGACTTTCCCTCTCACATTCCCCCACATAAGGATAGGAGCAGATGAAAGTATATTTTATATAAAAAAAAAAGTTGGCATCAGTGGGACTAGGAACTTGAACATTTCCCA